TGATTGGAACTTTACTGTCAACTGAACATATAGTAGGTCTTGAGGGAGAGTCTGATGGAACTTTAGTACCTTGTTTCCGAGATGGATGCGACGAGGTACTAGGCGTTGGCAGCTTCACTGACTGTGGTGAAGCACAAGGCGAGCTGGGCATTTTAGAGCACTTCCTTGTGCTGACCCGCTTGTTAGACGTGTCCGTTTTATTCTGCACAAGATTAGCTTGGCATTGCTTACAAACGGTCTTCAAAAATTCGCTCTTAATGCCCTGCATTATACGAAATTGGTCTACAGTCAGACCAACGCACGAAATATGAAGCCTTGCGCTGCAGAGACTGCATGAAACCGCATTAGCTCTATGTCCGACGATCTTGCAGCAAATTCCACAAGGAGACTGCTTCGTCATTTTAAAAATAACTACGATCGATACGAGCAAATGGGTGTAATTAAGAGACAAAGAAGTTATGCTGAATTATTACAGATAGTTACGAAGTATAACGCTAAATGACTAGCTAGAATTAGTTATGTGAATTAGAGGACGACACTGTTATAACAATAAAATCAACGAGATAAAATTGGCCTAACAGGATAAGGGCACGCTACCACTCAGATCAAAAAATCGCCAGGAGGACAAAAAACGAAAAAATTACGGCTAATATATATCTAAATATATCACCGGATAACGCAGAATCAAATATTATATCGAACTATATAATACACGACAGGATACAACAATATATGACACAATAATAATGAAAAAACTGGCCTGAGAGCGGAGCGAACGTATTTTCAAACCGAAGGCTGTGGCCTTGACCTTGATGATGATGATGATGATGATGATGATGATGATGATGATGATGATGATGATGATGATGATGATGATGATGATGATGATGATGATGATGATGATGATGATGATGATGATGATGATGATGATGATGATGATGATGATGATGATGATGATGATGATGATGATGATGATGATGATGATGATGATGATGATGATGATGATGATGATGATGATGATGATGATGATGATGATGATGATGATGATGATGATGATGATGATGATGATGATGATGATGATGATGATGATGATGATGATGATGATGATGATGATGATGATGATGATGATGATGATGATGATGATGATGATGATGATGATGATGATGATGATGATGATGATGATGATGATGATGATGATGATGATGATGATGATGATGATGATGATGATGATGATGATGATGATGATGATGATGATGATGATGATGATGATGATGATGATGATGATGATGATGATGATGATGATGATGATGATGATGATGATGATGATGATGATGATGATGATGATGATGATGATGATGATGATGATGATGATGATGATGATGATGATGATGATGATGATGATGATGATGATGATGATGATGATGATGATGATGATGATGATGATGATGATGATGATGATGATGATGATGATGATGATGATGATGATGATGATGATGATGATGATGATGATGATGATGATGATGATGATGATGATGATGATGATGATGATGATGATGATGATGATGATGATGATGATGATGATGATGATGATGATGATGATGATGATGATGATGATGATGATGATGATGATGATGATGATGATGATGATGATGATGATGATGATGATGATGATGATGATGATGATGATGATGATGATGATGATGATGATGATGATGATGATGATGATGATGATGATGATGATGATGATGATGATGATGATGATGATGATGATGATGATGATGATGATGATGATGATGATGATGATGATGATGATGATGATGATGATGATGATGATGATGATGATGATGATGATGATGATGATGATGATGATGTGATGATGATGATGATGATGATGATGATGATGATGATGATGATGATGATGATGATGATGATGATGATGATGATGATGATGATGATGATGATGATGATGATGATGATGATGATGATGATGATGATGATGATGATGATGATGATGATGATGATGATGATGATGATGATGATGATGATGATGATGATGATGATGATGATGATGATGATGATGATGATGATGATGATGATGATGATGATGATGATGATGATGATGATGATGATGATGATGATGATGATGATGATGATGATGATGATGATGATGATGATGATGATGATGATGATGATGATGATGATGATGATGATGATGATGATGATGATGATGATGATGATGATGATGATGATGATGATGATGATGATGATGATGATGATGATGATGATATTATGATGAGGATTATGATGATGATGATGACGCCGACGATGTTGTTGATGATGATGTTTGCATTTCAGATCTTGTCTGGATAGCGGACTTTTATTTGCGCACTTCTGAATGACAAACACACGATGCCGTTGGCAATTTAAGGGGGACAATAAACAAAGCCTCTAGCAAAGTCAACCAACTTTACAAATACTTGGTGCATGCGAGCTATGGCGTGACCGTTAATCTACATTGTGTGTTGGTCGTGCAATTGGTTCAAAAAATTTTAAGTTTCGTGTCGACACCTCAACAGCCATGCCTTATGTCGCTGCGTCATTATTGTTCCTACTAATTTACTTTAGGAACGTTCAATTCCCTCATTATCAAAAGGTTGTTTGCAGTGTTTGTGCGGATAAACTCGATGAAGGGCATAGAGACGCTAGCGGCACTCCTATACAGCAGCACAATTGTATATTTTGTTGACTCACTACAGAATTCAAATGAACTAGCTGCATAAGTCCTAGCAGCTGTTAAAAGTATAGGTTTTGGATAAGTTTGCACTATATTTGTTATACAAGGCGATGCCATCCACAACGATCAGATAGACGGTCAGATCACAGTAGTGCTTTGCCCAAAAGGTAAAATTAACAGTCCATGAAGTCCAGCTTCAAGCATGTTCCAGTGGACCGAGTACCTCGTGCTATGATTTGTCTATAAGGGCCCCAACTTCAGACATTTTGTTTCGCAGGCTAAGTAAATTGCTGAGAACCATATGAAAAGCTTCGGTATGGAGAGCCTTGAATTGTGCTACACGAACGGCTCTGGTGGGGGACGTAGACGGCCGGTCCGCCACCCGAAAACCCACAAAACTTAAACCATTCTGGTCAGCTTCTCGACGCTTTTTATGGCTTTTGACGGCTTTCTTAAACGTTATCCTAACTTCTTAAGATAGGTCCGGCTGTAAGCACACTCTAAAATACTTTAACTAAATAACTAAAAACAAAGCGCAAAAGAGCTTGGCGCTCCTTCGGTGCATCCAAAACCAGGTGCCGTGGATAGGACTTACTTTTAGTACTCGCATCCGATATATTCCCAAACCTAGCAGGTTTCCTAATCTTAACACCAGGAATTTGGAGTGGAGGTCGTTTATAACCGCAAGGCGTATGCACTTCCGGAAGAGTCGCAGGGGACTCCCCGATATTTCGAAAGATAAAGCGATCTTCGTAAATATATCACTACGAAGAGTGGGGTTCCTGTACGCGTCACTGTAGCAGCGGCCGGCGCAGCGCTTGACTTTATACCATCCGTATTAGGAACAGCGTGTGCATCTGATAAAGATTTTGGCACTTAGATGAAAGAATTTTCTGCTGCCATTACCGTGGCCAGCGTATCCACACAGCCCACCGCTACGTCCTTGAGCTTGCGTTGGTTGTATTGACCGATTTCTTTATCTTCCGCCGCTTTATCTTCGCAGATGCACTAACCTGAAAAGTGCCCAATCAAATCTGCGTTCAATATAACCTCGGGATGTACACCATCTTCAGGCACTGCTTCAAAAGTTGATGCAGCCCTCGAAGCGGTAGTATTTATGCAGTCCGCCGCAAGTATGCTTGTTCTGAGAATCCTTGCACTTTCAAAGCTTACGACGATTTGATCCGCTTTTCCATCTAAGAAACTAAACAACGGAACACGTGTACCCACTCTATACAACAACGTCACAACTTCGTCATTTGCAACCAGACGATAGGTTTTGTGACTTACGCTGTCAGAGCAAATTTAGGGTAAACCAACCGGGTTTTCTAAAAAATTTAATGCTGTCTATCCATCTTAGTGCATGTTTCATTGAACCAAAGACTGTAGAAGTCACATTGTCTCCCGCTCGAAAAACTAGTAACTACTTCAGAGCAGTTCTATGGCTTGCTGTACCGCCGAGCAGAAACATCATGCGCTTTCTGTTAAACCCAGAGACGTAGTTGCCACGGCAGCAAGAAATATGCAGTCTTCTTCAGTTGCTAAGTCCCCTGCGGGTTGTGGGCAGGCCAAACTTCTTAGGATGCTGACCGTCTCGTCTGACACTAAACCTGCCCCTTCTGACGACGTGTCGATAGCTGCTCAATGCGACCCAAGGTAAACTGTTCCTGCTTCTGTGGGCCAAAAAGGAAGCAGCTTAGATCTGTCCGTAAAAGTTTGGTGCCTAGAGACACGGGAAATAGTAAGCTGCCGGCAATAGAGCGGAAAACTTACTTTTACTATAGCTTCGACTTTATTTGCGGAGGCAGGGACAGTACCAAAGTTAGTGGTGGAAACACCTGGTGTAGGTGTTGGATCCAAGGGTAAACATTCCCTGTCATTGGAAGTCGTTAACGGATAGTAGCGTTAAATGCTTTGACGTTATTTAACCTGCAACTGCTGTCCAAAGGGAATGCATTTCGGATGATACTAAGTGGCTCAAACTGTGCGTCACCCAGCTGCTTCCACAGACTTCCCTGGTGTCACTGACAGAAAGCTGACAAGGTTGGGGCATGCCCTTTACGGTACGGCATATCCGCGACCCTGCCTACTTTGCGTTGTGCTATTTGCTCCAGAGGAAAGCATATCATTACTGCGCTTTGCATTCAAAGTTAAAGGTAGTGGTATCAGCCTTTAGCCAGACCATCCACTAGCAGAAAGATTTAAGTTAAAGAAATATATCACTGACTTCAAAACTAGACGGGCGGCTGGTGGGCAAGGCCTCCGGTTGGTGATCCTATAGATGGCCAGTCGGTAGGTATTTACCTCCTTATCAGTACCTATCCTGATAGCGCACAGTCCAGGGATTGTCGTGCGAACTTCCTTTAGGTGGTACTTAGCAACTTGCGTAGACTAAGGAACAAGGTGCACGAGTTGGGATTACTTGTAGACCAATCACGTCCCTATCCACTTGCTTTCACTGAAACGTGGTCGTCCCCGTATGTTACAGACGGTGAGGTACGTTGCCTTGGATACACACTGTTTAGAACTGATTGCCTTGTTGGTCGTCAAAGCAGAGGCGTTGGATTCTCTGCCAGCTGTAACTTAGATGTGTTGAGGACATGCACATTCCAGCCATGTGCTCAGACAGTTGAAGCTTTATCGGTTGTTCCGTGCACTACCTCTAACCGTCTACAGTTAAGGGATATACAGAAGTCCTGGCAGGTCTTCCAGGGGAATAAGTGATTTTAATCGCGCTCATTCCGCCAATGATTGTTTAGTTATAGGGATTTTAACCTCCGGTAAGTCTGTTGGTCTGGTCATCCTTGCAATTCGGCAACAGCAACCTTCCGCGTAGACTTTGTCGAGGTAACCTACCAAGCGTCTTTGCAGCAGTTCGTTGCCTTTTCCACTAAGTATATGGACAAACAAATACCGTCGACGTTAGACCTGGCTTTCGCTAATTCCATCGACGTCGTGACTGAGGTTTCCTACGACGCACCTATAGGGCCCAGCAATCAAGCACCCATGTCCTTTCGATGTGCACTTTCAAGGCACTAACAGACAGCCGTTAACTTACATCCGAATATTTGTTAGGTGAATTTTAGTGCAAGGCGAGCTAAGGCTTCAGTTCTGAATTGTGAGGTTTCAGTGGCCGAGCCTGCACCTTTAGTCTGGGATAAAGTTAAGGCCTACTTTTTATGGGTTTCCACGCCCTATATTTCACTCATGAAGTAAAGATAGTTACGGGTATTGTCTATAGGGTTTGGAAAAACATGCAAGTACCTACTGAGGAAACAGTTTAGATGCTGGCGAACCTACGCATTAGCTTCATAAGCCAATACCTATGGTAGACATTTAGTGAGTAATAATGATTTTATGCAACTTTTCCGGGCTGTTTGTTTCTAGTATGAGCAGGGTTTAGCGGATTTGGCCGCAGATACTTCCTAGAAAGTTGCAATGATGTTAAAAGACACAGAGGGCAAAATTGTCAATACCAGCGTTATTGTGAGCAGATGGGACCAGTGAGCGAACTGACTAATACGAGGCTCGGATACGTAGTGCTTAATATACCAGTTTGCTCTGTAGATCTCTTTACCACAGCATTAATTGGTTTCAAGAACTCCAGAGGCTACTTGCTTAGCTGAGCTTAACCTAGCAGACCAAGGTCTTTGAGCTACTGCAGAACTGTAACCACTTTAAAGCTTCCGGTCCTGACTCAAATTCGTTCAAAGCTGTTGCATGAATGGACCAGTGAGCTGAGTGGTCCTCTCACATGTTTGTTGTCAGTATCGCTTGATAGCTGTGTCTTACCTACGGAATATAAGGAGGCAACCAGCTGCCCGATGTTTGAGGGCGGTGACAGTGCTCCGCTTGCGGACGACCTGCTTGTCAGTTTGACAAGAATAGTAGTCAAGTTGTATGAAAAGCTGCTACTGGACTAGGTGAAGAACCTCATGAATAGAGTTAAACTTATTGTTGCTTGACCTAGTTTCCGCATTTGACTTAGGTGTCACACTATTCTACTTTTAGCTCCTGTAAGCTGGACCGAAACAATCGACAGTGGCCACTTCGTCAAAATGCCATTTGTGGGCTATCCAAACGCCGTTGAAATTGTTCCTCATCTTAGACTCTCCCTAAAGTTGAGCTCCTACGGTATATGTGGTCGCACCCTTAAACGTGTATCTGCTTTCCTTGAGGGGAAGAAACATTGCGTACGGGCGGCAAGTCCAGGCGAGATGCTCTTAGTGGCGTCCTGTAGGGCTTGTAATTGGGGCCATTTTCGTTCGCATTCTATGTAAATGACTTGTGGGAAAAGCTAGGAGTGTCATCACTAATGTTTGCTGACGAAGGTAAGCTCTGGAATGTTGTGGATACCCGAAGGCTCGTGAGACAATTCAGTATATCTGTGTTATAGACTGGGAATGGCCTACGTTATGGTTGATGCCAATAAATCATGCGAAGTACTCTGTTCTCGCAATCGGATCCGCTAATCTTCCCACTCGGTATGTTGTCGGCGGTGGTGAAATCCCTGCTTTTACCAATCTGTTGGAGTTAAGTTTCTTACACTTAACAGTACTGCATCCCGGTGAAAATCGGAAAGGTGCTGCTTTCCGGAGGGTTCGTATGATGTGGTTTGTTTGCCGGTCTTCCGGTGTCCTAAAGGTCAATTGGTTTGGGAAGCTATACTTGGCATTCGTCCGACCCCACCTGGAATATTATATTCAGGCTGGTCCACCATGTCATATCCGAGACAAAATGGACTTCGAGAGGATGTTACGGGTAGGCCCTTAGTTATTGCAGTGCATAGGGGAGAGACGTCTTCTGAACGCTTGCATAGGTTGGGGACGTACCCTATACGCTGCCCGAGGATAAGAACAACAACAACGGCAGCATATAAGCCATTTGAACTGATGCTTTGCTGCCTTACAAGCATGCTGGCCTATGGAATATAGAAAATTAAGAGGCAGGGAAGCAAGCTTAATCGAAAACCTCAATGCACTAAGCAAACCTTCAGGATCAAGGCACCTACACCTTGTGTATACAACGTACCTTCGCAAACAGCTGGCTATCGTACAAATATAAGGTGGCATCGGCGAGACAGCTGCCTTACGTTTTTCTCTGCCACACGTCATAATCAGGTATTGCCCCCCAGATATCTCAACACCAAACACACTTTAAACAGGCAATCCGATTAGGGGATTGCAGCATACGCTCCATTGCTGTCCGTTGCGAGTCGTGTTCTTTAAAGTCACGAGCCAAGCACAAGGCACGTCACGTGGACTCCAGCCCGGAAGACGAGACGGACCAACGGCACCAAGTGGTTGCTAGTAACTTCATTTTCCTTTGCCAAGTCAACTTTTGTCCACCTCAATCTTGCGCCACTTTACACCAGGCGGAATATACAAGGCGCTCCTAAGTAAGCGGTGCTCAGGCATCCGTAGCATGTGCCCGAGCCAACGCAACTTATTCAGTGCTATCTGTTGTTCTAGGGAGCCAGCATGACTACCACTACCTAGTACTCGCCTAAGCACACGATCGTTGCGGTCACGCTGGTCCTATCTGGCATTAGCAATGCTTCGCAGACAACGATGAGCAGAGACTTGAAGGCGCCTCAGATCACCAGATCGAACAAGCCATGTCTCACTAGGATACAGCAGAACGCCCTTCATTGTGGCCTTGTATACACGGCCCTTCAAACGAAGGGAAACTCCCTTCTGTCGCTCAAGATGCCGCGGGTTTGGGAAAGCACCTCTGGCCTTTGCACTGTGTGAGCTGACGCAACTTTCAATGCTCCCATCGTTGCTAACGCAGCTGCCGAGAAACGTGAAGTGATCAACCACCTCGAGTTCCTTGTTAGCAATGGTCACAACGTTGTAAAGTGGTTTGTGGTCCTGCAGCAACACTTGTTTGTACCTTGTTTGTACCTCTTGGGGACAAAGCTGTAGAAGTTCAGGTACTGACCCTTCCACGTTGGCTTGCGGTAAACTGATCTGCGTACTGAACCTTCACTTCTACGCTCGATCAGGATGT